TTCATACCCCCCATCTGAGCTGAAGCAAGTTAATTAGGACCTACATGACAAAAGGATTACATACACATTTGAGGTTCCGATGGAGCCAGGTTTCTCTGGTGAAGGCACCTAGAATTCAGAGAAAAGGAATGACAGGCTGTCCTTAACAGGGGTCCTTTTCTAACAGAAAAAAATTGTTTGGCCCCACTGGTGTGTCTCAGTGGTTGAGCAGCGAGCTATGAACCGGGAAGTCAGGGCACACGCCTGGGTTGCGGGCTCGATCCCCAGTATGGGGCATGCAGGAGGCAGCCCATTAAAGATTCTCTCTCATTATTGATGTTTCTATCTCTCCCTCTCTGAAATCAGTAAAAATATATTTTTAAAAAATTGTTCGCACCCAGACTAGGACTAACTCCACAGGAGGAGTTATTCCACTCTCTCAAAGGTGCAAAACACTGCCCAAAGGTACTCGGCCACAACACCAAAACAGTGCTTGGAGCCAGACCTCATTAAAGGCAGCGCTTGCTCTTCCAACAGTGTAACACCATCCAAGGCATCACACTAGCCTGGATAGCTGACAACCGCTGGATAATTCCTGAAACAGCTTTTTTATTTGTTTCAGATACCCTGGCACCCCAGGCAGAAGACATGGATACAAGTATCCCCATGAATTAAATGTTGACTACAAAACAGAGGCCTGGAAGCACTGATTGAAGACCATGCTGCCAAATCCTTTAAATGAATAGGAAACAAGAATCCCTTTGCCATGCCTTCAGTCATTTTATCCAACATTCAGAGAGTTTCTGCCATGTGCCAGGCACTGAGCTTGGGTTCTTGCAGTGAACAAGGTAAGATACAGTATCCTTTCCCTTATGGAATGTACAATCTCCCTATAAATTCCTCAGATGGAATGATACAGATAATCTCAAAGATGCTACATGCCTTCAGACCACAACTATCAAAATCCTACTCAGGCTGAATTTGTTGGGGACACATATAGGTGCCTTTGCCTCCCAATGTTTCCTGATGGACAACGACTAACAAAAGGCCCGACACATAGGCAATATTGGGATGAATAGGGACGTTTACCTGAAATTCCATACACAGACTGTCCACCTGCCACTAATTTCCTCTATTCAGGAGGGCCAAGGATGCCCAACTTTCAAGTCATCCTAAAAAGAAAAAAATTTCACTGTTCAACATCCCAGATTAAAACAGCAGCTCTTAAGGTGACACTTCTGTAGATGTAAATAGAATGCCACCTGCTATTTATAATTTGCTATATTTTTTTATATTCACAGGAATTATTTTACTTCCCATTATTTGCCTTTTTCTTGGCCATGTTACCATTAAAACTAACCATTCCTCAAACCCTCTAAATATCACTAGTTTTAAGACCCCATATATAAAAGGCATATTCACATCGAACATCTGAAGTATTCAAAAAAAAAAAAAAAAGCATTCAGCTAAGGGAATCCTTTTAAGGGGAAGCCAATTGATAGAACAAAACTAGCTTTGATAAATAACTCCCCCATCTCCCCAACATTCTCACCAGTTCCTCCTATGGAAACTAGGAAGTCACTTTTCACAGAAGCAGCAACTAAGTCAGCTCTAATGGATAATCCCCTGCATCACCCTGAGTGAAAAGTGTTTGCCTAGAACGGAGAATGATCTCTTCTCAGAAAATTAGCATTCCAAAACAAAATCATTACCAAGGGGGCTCAAGATTTACTGTTCCAAAAAGGCAACAACTCTGTTCACCGCTGAAATAAGAAACCACAAATATCTGGTCAGCCTAAACCAGTAATTATTACGGTTGTAGCTAGGCCAAGTGTCTAGAGCCCCTTAATCAATTGCTATTTTTATATTTTATTAATGAAGTAGAGAAGAATGCCCATAATTTTAAAGCAAATTCACATCAACATTTTCCTATAAGGCATTCTCATACAAAGTACAGCTATGAAATCCCTCCACAAAGGGATCATCCTGACTAGCTCTGTATGGTGGGGGAGTGGGAGCCATGACATTTTATTTCAGAGTAATTAGCAAAAATCCCATGTACTTCCTGCCTGTATAAGGCCCCCTGAGTACTTGGTAGCCTGACTTTTTCTCTCTACTTATACATCCCTTCATGGCTTGATTACTTTTTGTGTTTCCAATGTGTGATTCAAGTGACCTCATACTACCAAACCTATTGCACCAGAACCACTTAGAAAGGTCTGGATTTTTAGGTTTTTCCCTGCAAAGTCATGCTCTTACAGATTGGATAAGCACATATGCTGGCATCCTGGTATAGTTAACAACCAAGTTGGCATGAACCAGGCCCAGAATGCCAACCAGCTATGGGCTGCTGTTCTTCCAGCAGTGTAACACTTGCCTAGGTATAAGGCAACCTAGGCAGCTGCCTACAGCTGGGGCCAAAGGTAGGTGAATGCAGTTGTACTCACCTGACACTGCATCTGTCCAAAGTCCACAACTGCAATCAAAACACTCCAGGTTAGTCAGCCAATAGTTAGTGAACACTTGTGTGGGGTTCAAGACCCCAGGCCCCCAAACCCCGTAACTATGTGAGGCCTGAGCTACAGAAACAATAACAGGCAATAGAACAATTTTCCCTTGGTTAACGTTATTTTCACATGTTATTGTTACTTATGTCCCTCAGCAGTTCAACAGGATCAAATCAATGGTCTGGTCAATAAGTATCAGGAAACTTAATAGCCAATAAACAGCTGGCAAGTAACTTAAGTCTCTACCTCAGTCTCCTGATTTGTAAAATAGGAATGTTATTAATAGTACTCTGTATGCAAGGTGGATGGGAGACTTAAATGGAATATAAATTATGCTCATAGGATAATATCTGGTATAGAACAGGCACTCAATAAACACTTGCTGTTATCAGGAGTTACATTACAGTCAAGGAGATGATGGATACAAGTGAGTAGAAGGGAAAAGTCACCCTGGGAGGGGAAATTGGAAGGCTAGTTAAAACTAAGTTGAGGAGGGCCTTGATTGTTGGGTCTCTTTAAGAACTATAAAAGCAGTATTTCAGAAAAGTAATTGGTCTCAGTACTGGATGTGAAAGGAACTTGAGACAGGTTGACATTCCTGCCAAAGATCCTCGACTATTGGTTGAAAACCAAGATGTTTGCAAGAATGCTAATAAACATTCCCAACCAACTCACCCTTATAATTTACCTTTATTTCAGGTTAGTGTATCTAAGACCATACCTTTTCCCAGCCATCTCTAATTTCATTCCTAACCGCCTCTAAATGATTTAGAGCAAAAAGTAACTACAGGGGGCTTACTGTCTAGGTCAAAAAACTAATCCCTTTCAGGGCCTTGGGTTGAAGGAACTGCCGGAACTCCACCGGCCACGTGTTCCTCACCACCTTACCCAAGCCCCTGGCCCTCGTGCCTGGGGAGCTAGGCTCTCCACGACCAACTCTATGTGACTCTCCAGGGACAAGAGGGATGGTAGGAAACAAGGGGCGACCCTAGGGCTACGAACTCCCACAGTCTTTTCAAGATGCCCTCCAAATCCGGGGTCAGGAGGAAACGAACCCCAGTTTCGCCTCCTGCCTTGAAAGAAGCCTCCCCACCGCTGCCTCTTGTCCCGGCAGGTAAACCTCCAAGGCCTCCCCCGACTTGGTCCTTACTCACCGCGTGCCCGGAGCTCGGAGCTCGGAGCTCGGAGCTCGGCCGGGACACTCCAGTCCCCGCAGGGGCCGAGGAGGAAAGGGAAGCCGGGAGCCGAGGAGAGCCCCGCCCCGGGGAGGTTCCGGGGCGGGGCCCCAGTGGGCGAGGCCTGAAGTCCCGCCCAGGAAAGACCGAATTGGAAAAATGCGAATGCCGAGGCATAGATGAGCATACTCCTTATTGGACTTAGACCCCAGAAGAGAAAGGGTAGGAATTCTAACAAGGGCTGCATTTATTTGACTCTCATCCCCTTTGTTACTTATGGGTTGAAGGGGCGCTGGGTTTGGAGTTGCCAAGGAGAAAACCTGGTGTGTCCTGGTGCAGCCGTGTGTCCTGCCTACCCACGCTGAGCGCCCCCGGGACGCCGGTTCTTACACGTATGGCGCCTTTCCTTTCCTGCAGGCTCAACCTACGCTTTTCCCATCTCCCACGCAGATCCTCTTTCTGCCTTTCTCCAGCAGCGCTCTCACTCGGCTAATGGCTCGCCCACCCACAAAGGTCACCTTGGTTTTCAGAATCTCTCCAGGAGGTTTTCGGGTAGATTATGCTTGTCACTCACTCCTACAGCCTAACCCTGCGGGACTACATCCTGGCGCCTGCAGTGGGATCCTTAGCCGAGCTGCAGCAGCTAAAGAGCACTGGCTTTCCCTGCCAGACTTGCACCGTGGCACACTCAGCCAGAGAGGCCAGATTGCTCACCAAATTACCAGCATTTCCTTTGAACGTTAAAACTTCCTTCCCCACCTAGCTGAAGTCAGTATGATTCTATCCTGCTGAACAGCTGGTGAAGCTGGAGCCCAGAGGGGCAAGGGCTCAGCAGCAGTAATTCCTAAATCCATACCCCAAATTCTGGAGCCTCTTTCTCGCTGTCCCGCCCCCTCCATCTCCTATTCTACAGGCTCTGCTGATCTATCTCGGTGCCAGGTGAGCCACTGCCCTTGGCATCTGCCAACATGTTTTATTATCTTTTCTCAGCTTTTTCATAATGAAAAAAAATGTGCTTCCTGTGCACACAGACCGATAGAGCGTCGGCCTGCGGACTGAAAGGTCCCAGGTTTGATTCTGGTCAAGGGCATGTACCTGGGTTGTGGACACATCCCCAATAGGGGATGTGCAGGAGGCGGCTGATCGATGTTTCTCTCTCATCAATGTTTCTAACTCTCTATCTCTCTCCCTTCCTCTCTTTAAAAAATCAATAAAAATATAAAAAAAAAAAATGTGCTTCCTATGCACACAGACTTCTGCTGAGAAAGCCCAGAGCCCTAAATTGATTTTACAAGAGACCCTAGGCCAGAAGGCCAGAGAGCCACTAGAGAAGTGGCAAGCACAGATCCTCTCCAGTTTTGATGGGAGTTGGACACAGGCTGTGGTTGGAAAAAGGCTTACATAAATACAGTAATTAAAAAAGTCACATGAGCTGTGCTGGCTTGGTAGGCAGGAGCTCTGCTTTGCAGTTAAATAGGAATGTGGCTGAAGACTGCTGCCATAATCAATGCCAGCATCCGGCTGTCACAGTGTGTTCATAAAGGAGGGTTATGAGAGCTATAAAACTGGGCAGATTGGGTGGGTAATTGTCCTTCGGAGCTCTGCTAAAGGAGAAATTACGTTGGCATCTCATATATTTTGCTTTCATTCCTTCCAAACACACAAAATGGAGAAGGCAGAGCTATCCTGAGGATTCATGAAAAGGAAAGATGAGGTTTATGTGTATGCATGCATGTGTGCTTTAAAGAGACAGGAACTAATTGAGGCTAGGGAGAAACTAAGGCCTCAGTTAGAAGGACCAATGACTTGATGACAACTAGATTCACAGATTAGTCCAGGTAGAAGGCAGGATTGTGTTGAGGGAAGGCCAACCATTATGAGTAAGGCTGAGCTGTAGGCCATGTTCTCATGTTATATTAAAAAGATGGATACCTTTTTTTAGGAATAGGCCATGCAGTGTCCTTAGTGGAAAACCTAGATTATGATTTTTTCATTTTCTAGTTTTAAAAAAAGATTTTTCTTACTCAACTGTAAATATATATATATCTCAGGACCTTTCAGTCCACAGGCTGACGTTCTTGCCACTGAGCCAAACTGGCTAGGGCTTTTATTCAAACTTCTTAACCTCCATCCTTTTAATTCTGAATTCATTTTGGTGAGTTGATTTATATGGTCTTTTACCTATAATATCAACTACTTTTTTGCTTGTTTCTTATTCTTGAAGACAAGATTGTTACAAATAATAACAAAAAAGAAAAGGAAAAATTCCAGAAAAAAGTGCAACCAGATAAAAGGCAAAGGATTAGGGTAGGCCCTTAGTTCTGAGTTTGGCTTCATAATGGAAAGGTTGGCCCCAAGGGACACTAGGTCCCCAACCTGCTTTCCCACTTTTCACTTTCTCCTCCATTTTATCCTCTTCTTGCTTCCTTCCTTGATGCCTTTTGTTCTTTCAAAAAATATATATATATTATTTATTTCAGAGAGGAAGGGAAAGGAAGAGAGAGAGATAAACATCAATGATGAGAGAGAATCATTGATTGGCTGCCTCCTCCATGCCCCAAACTGGGGATCGAGCCCTTAACCCGGGCATGTGCCCTGACTGGGAATTGAACTGTGACCTCCTGGTTGTGACCTCCTATGAAGGTTGATGCTCAACCACTGAGCCACACCAGCTGGGCCCTTTTGTTCTTAAGACTGTCCTTTTCCTCTCCTTCCTGAACAGGAACCACCAGTAGAGAAATATTTAATAATTGTTCTGTCACACTCAATCAACAATTTTTAAGTAATCATTTGTGTGGGTATCACAAACAGATGTAAAGGGGTAGATTGTGCATTCCCCATACTTTCCCTCCCTCATGATTGACTCCCTCATAATTATTTGGTTCAACATTTATAGTGTACCTACTGTGTAAAAGGTATATAAACCTGAAAGAGCCAGAGTCTCTTCATTCCCTCCAATGGTTGAAATTAAATTATTAATATAATGCCCTCCATATAAACAAGTACAGCTCTTTACAAGATAGGCAATGTGGTACAAAGAATAGTGGCAGGGCATCCTGGGATTCTAAACTCCCTCTATAGCATTTAGGGAAACATCATGGTGACATCAGCTAGAGCAAAACCAATTCCCAACCTTCTTGATGTTGAGCAAGTTCCAAGACTTGGCTTCCTCCTCACATGCCTCCAATCACCCCTTCATTTGGTTTCTAGACTCAGTTAGTCTATTTCTATACCCCTCATTTTCTCACCATCCCCAGCTCCACAATGTCCAAATTGGCCCTCTATTACTGAAACCATTTGCTGGAAATTCATTAGCTGAACACATGGGAAATTACAGAGGAGATTTCACTTGTCACTTAGGCTCAAATATAGAAAGTAATTTTAAAAGGACACTGGCGAGAGGCTATATTTATCTTGCTTGTTTGTGCTGAGTTGTATCTTACTGTCTTTCATTCTCTTTCTGGCTACCTCACTTCTTCCTTGCTTGTTTTTAAAATAAATATTCACCTTTTAACCTTTGTCTCGGGTTCTCTTATCTTGCTTTATAGAACTTGAGACACTAGGCACTAGGAGGGATACAGTAATGAATAAGACAGACATGGTCCTTACCATGATGGAGATTACAGTCTGATGAGGCAGGTGAACATCAGGTAGAGTGAATTCAGATTTGATCACAGGAAAGCCTTAACAGAGTTAATTGCACCTTTCTGATGCTAATTTACCCTGCAGTAAATGGTCATGAAAAAATAGCCAGAATCTTAGCATGTTTGTGGGGTTAGGTAATAAACGAAATATATTCCAAGAATGCAAGGAAACTAAGACCTAGATTTCTGTGTGATATATACAAGTCTCCTGCGTAGGGAGAACATGGATTTGGGAGTCAGATGTGGATCTGATTCTAACTTCATCACTTACATATTAGCTGTTTGACTTTAGGCAGGTAACCTGAGGGGGAATGGAAACCTGACCCTCTGGTTCGTGGGCCAGTGCTCAACCACGGAGCCACACCAGCCAGACCAGAATCTTTTTTTTTTCTTTTTTTGTATAAAGCATTTAATTTATTGGTCTTTGGGGGAATCTGATGCATCACCAGGTGCATTACAACTGAGCCATTAATCTCGTAGCTTCGTCAACATTCACTGGTCTGTTTTCCTGACTCGGCTGAAGAGCCAGCTGTTTCTGCAGAGGTTCGAGGGAAAGGCCTTGAGAGAAGTGAGCAAGCTCCTTCTGTATGTTCACAAAAGCTTCATTCATTCTTTTAATTTTTTCAACGTTCTTAATGATTATCTTCTTAAGATTCGTGGTAACTAGTTTTGCTTTACTCTTCCCCTTAAAGTGTTTTTGACTGGCTACGTGAAACACATTCCTGGGCTTCTGCCCTTTCCATTTGTTCTTGGCCATTGTCTCTCACCAGGCCGACCTCTCACCAGGCCGACCTCACACCCTCACGCGGCTGCTCCCAGAATCTTTTTTTCTAAAAGTAGCTGTTTGGACTGAGCTTAGGCAGGCATATCTTGAATTCAAGAATAAACCTGCCAACCTCTTCATGTCCCATTTAGCCTAGGGAATCTTTATGAGAGGAATTGCTAAATTCTTTTTCTTTCCAAGCCAGGCATGCTCTGGGGAGATGAATGCTGCCAAGAAGGCTCATTGCTCACAAGAAAAGGAAAAATGGCAGCTGCCATTTCAGGCACTTAATAAGTACACTAAATTGAGAAGCTGCTGATTTGTTTTACCTGGTTCCTCCTTCCTGATAAAGAAGAAATCTCTTCAATCAGAGGTTCTTTGAAGATGAGATGGAAGGCTGAGCTTCAACTGCAGAAAGTGGCAGAGGCAACATTCAAAGGAATAAGCCAGCTCAGCTAGCTCAGCGGTCAGCACCAAAATTCCTGGATTCCCAACCTCCTCTCCACCCCTAGGAAATTTCAGGTTGCCTTTGTTCTGCAGAGTTCTTTTCAAAGGGGATGAGTTTAGTTGTCCTTTACTCCTTCACCATCCTTTTCCTTTCTTTTTTAAGAAAAATTTTTTAAAATATATTTTTCATTGATTTTTAAAATAATAATCTCACTTTACAGATGAGTAAAACTGAGGCTCAGAGAGGTTACATGCCTGACTTACAGTAACATAGCTAGCCAGCAAGCAACAAAGCCAGGTCTTCTCATTGTAACTCTAGTCTCCCTGCACTGCCTTGCTCTGCATTTAAATATAATATGTATGTGACATCATAATATGGCATGTGATATATGATATGGAATATAGAAGACATGCATACTATATTTGGTGAATTATGACATTCATTTTTCTCACTCAGTAAATATGTATTACACATCTATTATGTGCTTATCATTATTCCAGGTGCTGGGGATAGGGCAGTGACAAAAATAGACAAAAACACAAATTATTGCCTTCATGGAGCTTATTACATTCTAGTGGGGGATAGAGACATAAGATAATTATGTAAACTGTATTTTATTATGTATGTTATCATAAGGGCTAAGACTAAAAATAAAGTAGAGAAAAGGATAGGCAGATGTGGCAGTTGCAGTTTAAGGGTGCAGGAGGATCAAGGAAAGCTACACTGAAAAGGCTACATGTGAATAAAGACCTGAAGGAGATAAGGGAGTGATCATGTAGAGGGGTAGCTGGGAGGGGGCAGCAGCAGAGAGAAATGCATATTCAAAAGTCCTGAGGCAAGAGTGAGCCTAGGGTGAGGCTAAGCTGGGGAGAGAATGGGATGGTAAAAGATGAGGTTAAAGAGACTGAGAGGTTGGGATCCAGATGCCAGATCTCATAAGGAAATGAAGTGATATAATGCAGATGATATGCCATGATGTAATAATACCATGACAGTTTATTATGTTTTTCCATAACAAATTACCCCCAAACTTTAAACATTTATCTCACCCAGTTCCTGAGAGTCAGGAACTGGGAGCAGCTCAGCTGAGCTGACTCAGGGTCACTCAAGAGGTTGCAGTCAGGCTGTCTGCTAGGGCTTCAGCCATGTGAAGGCTTGCCTGAGGCCCTGCCTCCCAGCTCATTCATGTGGCTGTTGACAGAGGCCCTCACTTCCTTACCACATGAGCCTCTCCAAAGGAGTTTCATGACATGGCAACTGCCTTCCCCCAGAGCAAGTGATGTGTGTGTGTGTGTGTGTGTGTGTGTGTGTGTGTGTGTGTGAGAGAGAGAGAGAGAGAGAGAGAGAGAGAGAGAAGAAAGCCAGTGTCTTTTATAATCTAATCTTGGAAGTTACATACCATTACATCTGTCATATTCTATTGGTCACACAGATAAACCCTTGTACTATGTGGGAGGGGACCCTTTTTGTGAACGAGAAGCATCCTGCCTAGTCTAAAAAAATGATCACAGGGAACAGAGCATTTGTTCTGTCTCTCAGACCCACTACTGGTTCTGTCCAGAGATGAAGACATGGCTCTCCTGAGACCTAAGCAGGCCTCTTGCTCAAGTCTGGCAAGGCTCCCCCTTGGTTTTGCAACCAGAGTCAGCCAATTTCCTAAGTTGAGCAGCAGATGGCATCACAGCCTCAGGAGCAAGCAGCTGAGGCTGCTGGCAAGAGCAGCAGCCCTATTAGCAACTGAGGCTTGTGCTGGGCATCAGGGAGCTCCTGGGTGGTGGGAGCCTCCCCGGCTCCCAGCTCAGGGAAGTTTCTGTGTTGTGCTTGCAGATTGGGTATCTCAGAGAGCAGAGCCTGGAGCCCCAGTTAGGAAACATGACAAACACAGGGTCTTTTCTATGGTCTTTTCTGAGAAAGATGAAAATCAGAGATTGCCGTACCCAGAGCAACTGTTTTTTCATCACTGCCTGTCCTTTACTCACAAGGGTCTGATGGAGTATATCCTGGTTTGGAGGCTGGCAGGTCCCCTGCAGAAGCTTCTTGGGGTGACTAGATGGCACCAGAGACAATTTTTGGCATCAGAGGGCTCTGAAAACCATCTAGGGAATCCCTTTTTTTTTCCTTTTCCCCTCCAGTGACCCAGAAGAGGAGCTATACCCAGAGCCGTCTCCCAGCAACACAGGCAGGGTTCAGTCCTGCAGACCTTCTATTTGTGCCTCAGTCTCCTTCCCTGTCCTTGTATTTCTGACTCCTGCTCTCTGTTCTACCTTTTCTCTCTCCTTCCTTTTTCCCCTGTCATCTCTGTCCATTTATGTCTTTCCCTCTGTGGATCTCTCTTTCTCTGCCCCAGAGAAAAGAAGAAAGCTAGTTACCACACTGCCTTGGCTGTAGCACCATTGCCTATCTTTAGGGACTCGGACCCTTCCCACTAGGCCTGCCTTCCCACCCTTATTCCCTTCCTTCCTGCTGCTGCTGCTTGATGGTTAGTCCCAAGGAGACCTGGACAAAGGGAGGAGGTCTAGAGGTCACTGAGAAAATATACTGGAGTCTGTGCTCCTTGCTTTGTAGCTGTGGAAAGGAAAGCCTGCAGGGGCTTCTCGGTATGAATTAGATTCACTGAAGCTCTGGCTCACTACGCACCCATCTTTGCCCCTAGAATGTGAGCTTGAAGGCAGGATTCTTTCTACCTCATTCACTGCTGCATTTACAGTCTCTAGTACTCAATAAATATTTGTGTGTTTTTATTTTTGTTTATTGATTTTAGAGAGAGACAGAGGAAGAGAGAGAAAAGAAAGAGGGAGAGAGAAACACTGATTTGTTGTTCCACTTATTTATGCATTCATTGGTTGCTTCTTGTATGTGCCCTGACCGGAGATGGAATTAGCAACCTTGACATAGTGGGACGACTCTCTAACCATCAGAACTACCTGGCCAGGGCCTTAATAAATATTTGTTAAAAATAATGAGAGGACGGATGGAAGGATGAATGCTGAGCTCTGCATTAGGCACTGGAGTACAAACATTAGCATCCCAATTCGTAAGGAGAGAGGGACACTCAGAAAAGCAATCATCTATCATCCAACATAGTGACTATGAGGATGGCAGTTGTAGAAGCTGCAGTGGGTGCCTGAGTCTGCACTGTGAAGACAGGGAAGGCTTTGTTCACTCACTACTTTAACAATTATTTATGGAGAACCCACCAGTACCAGACTCTGGGTTATAGTGGGAAATAAGGTAGGCTTCCAGTTGGGTGTGGGAGTAAATAAAAAGGTAGTTAGTAACAAAGAGGATAAATGCTGTCCTGGGGAAATAATAGACAGTGGACGCAGAGAGCAGAGGCAGCTCGCCCAGTATGGGGGATTCTGGAAGGTACAGTGGTGAGGTGAGTTTAGGCTGAGATCTGCCTGCAAGGTTAGTGAGTCAGCTGGGGAAAAAGGCAGGAAAGAGAGTTCCCGGCTAAGGGAACATCATGTAAGGTCAAGAGAGAATGGCAAGTTTCAAGGAATTGAGTAACAATTGAGCAAGAGGAGTGGGTGGGAGTGGGGTAGAAGAACCGCCAAAGCCAGGTTAAAAAATTATGCCTTTACCTTGAGGGCTTGGGAAACCATTGACAAATTTTAAGAAGGGAAGTGATAAGATCAAATTTGCATTTTATTTTATTTATATTTAAAATGTTTTTATTGATTTTTAGAGAGAAAGGGAGAAAGAGATAGAAACATCAATGAGAGCAAAACAGATTGGCTGCCTCCTGCACATGCCCTACTAGGGATCAATCCCACAACCAGGCATGTGTCCTGATTGGGAATCAACCTGGTGATCCTTTGGTGCAGGGGACCATACCCAACCAACTGAGCCACACTGGCCAGGCACGTTTGCATTTGAGAAAAATTACTCTGGGTACAGTGTAGGAAATGGATGGTGTAGGGCCAGAGTGGCAGTCTAGAGACCAGTGAGGGAGTAGTTCAGGCAAGAAATGGTGGCCTGAATGATAATATCGGTGGGGCTAGAGGTCATGTTTGAGTCGAGACTGAGGATAATTAGTTTTCCTGTTGAAAACTTGGGGGAGAGAGGATGCTGGCATTCCAGAGAGAGAAAATGCATACCCAAAGATTTCAAGAACTTGGCATGTTCTGGGAAGCATATGTAGTTATGTATTTTTAGCTTGTAGAGAGGGCAGAGGGGTAGTCGTGGGAGATGAAGTAGGGAGGAGCTAACCTTTGCTGATGAGCCTTCTAATCCCAGGGTGAGACCAGACCTCTTTTGTTAGAGTTGGGAAGACAGGGGAAATCATCCTCTACAGACACCTGAATTATCTGGAGGGTTTCCAGAGGGTTCTGGTCCATCCAGGCATTTTCTGATCAAATACATAACCTGAAAGACAAAGGCAAATAGTATCTAAGGAAGTGAAGGTGGATGTGGGAACTGGAGGAAGCAAGTGGACCAAGCGAGGGAGTCTGGAGATGGGAAGGGGCTGCCTGCTAAGCACAGAGAGGTGAGCAAGGCTGAGTGAGATGGGTCCCATCAGAACCTGGAAATTCCTCCTCCAGAATTGTCCAGTCTCTTCACTCACTCTTCTTTGTTCTGTCTCCAGACCTCAAAGGCCTCCTACAGATATCTAATTTTTTTTCTCCAAAAGAGAAAACAACTAGTGTAATGTTTAAGAAAATGGGCTCTGCTTCTTTCTTGATTTGTAACTTAGAGCAAATCACTTACTGGAGTTATTTTCCTCACCTGTGAAATGGGGACAGTAATAATGTCTACCTCATAAGTGCTGAAAGGTTGAAATGAGGTAATGTGAACAGAAAGTTTACCTAGTGAAGGCTCTCAATAAATCTTTGGTGTTATTAAGATTTTGCTATGAGCCAAATGGGGTGGTGGGGGTGAGGGTGGGGTAAGGTGAGGGGAGAGAGAGAGAGAGAGAGAAAGAATGAGAGAGAAAGGGATGTAAATGAGGAAGGCTGAGTGGAAGGGAAGTGAGTTCCAACCTGTGCAGAATTCTTCAATGGCTTCCATGGCCTGTGGGGCAAAATCTTACAAAGTCTGGTTCCTGCCCCTGTTCTGCTTCATCTGCCACTGCTCCCAACCTCACTTTACAGACTAAACATGACACTACCATCTGTGATTTCAAGAGCATGCAGGTTCTTCACACCTTACATGAGCTGCTCTTGTGGAGACAAAAATGGACCCTCAAACCTGCCTTCATATCAAATATCAGGAAGCTTCCAGAGACATGGAGCAGATGTTGGGAAGAGGCTCAGGGTGAGTACATTGTGAGGGGGATAGGGGACAAAAGGGGAGAGAGCAGAGAAAGGTAGCATGGCTCAAATAAATGGCATTTGACATAGCACAGTAGCTCCTCAATTAAAATCGTTTCGTCATAACATTGATGAGATGCCATAGGAACTTAACTCTTGTTTATATCAATTACCCTATGGTAAAATTGGTTTCATTATTCATTGTTTTGCCAGAAGTCACAGAACCTATCAGCAGGCCAATGGACATGCTTGTTTGGATAGTGAGGCTAAGACTGAAGGAGAGGCAGAAAAGGGGAGATGTTTAGGGGAGTCCCAGCATCTATCTGGCCTTTTACACCCTCCCTTGTTTTCTTTCTCCTTCCTTTAGGGTTCAAGTTCCCTGGAAGGGAAATGCAAGCCTGGGAGTATTACGTAGAGACTTATTTGTTCCTTTTAGGAGCTAAGGCCCCATGATACAAAGGTCCCATGACTATGCAACATGGTGTGGAAAGTAAAGACTTGTGCTGGAGGGTTGTGGGAGCCTACAGGTGCATGTAGCTAACCTGGTCTGCTATGCCACAGGGGCTGCTGTGAGGATTATAGGAATTAATACATGGAAGCACTTAATGCAGTGCCTGGCAGAGAGAGCTCTCATCACTATTATCCTAGCGTGGGCAGGGCCTGTTTCTCCGAGGAAGTTTGGTTACCTTCATTGGATTGTGCTCTCTTAGAAGAAAAGGGCTATTATCTATCTTGTTTTCTGTTATATAGACAATACCATATCATACTGCCTGGCATAAAATCACTACACATTTGTTGGATAGATGGATTAATAAATTCCCATTTTCCCAATAAAGAAACCAAGGCTGAGAGTTTAGGGGATTAAAACTATCCAGCTAAGTTAGTGGCAGAGCAGGAACTGATATCAAAGCCTCCTAATCAGAAAGATGCAGGCCCAGAGATTATTATTTTTTTCTTAATTGACTTCAGAGAGGGAGGAAGAGGAAGAGAGAGAGAAAAACATCGGGATCATTGATCAGTTGCCTCCTGCACGCCCCACACTGGGGATCAAGCCTGCAACTTGAGCATGTGCTTTGACCGGGAATCAAACCATGACCTCCTGGTTCATAGGTCAACACTCAACCACTGAGCCACACAGGGATTCTTAGAGCTCAGTCCCAATGCCCCTGGAGCCCATCTGTTCTCTGATACAGGTGGATGGAATGGTGGGATGTGGTGAGAAGAGGTCCAGACAGGCCTTTGATAACACCTTAAGTGGATTCAAAAGGAGCCCTGTGCCTGTGACTCTCCTTACTCTCCCAGCTTCTCCTGACCAGCTACGAAGGTGAGAGCCTGGCACTCACTCAAATGACCTCTGAATCTTTCTCACCCCACTATTATGGGCTGCCCCCCAATCATTCCATCCCTTTCACCACTAAATTCTTGACGGCTGAGAAAGCCAGCCTTCCTTCCTTCCTTCCTTCCTTCCTTCCTTCCTTCCTTCCTTCCTTCCTTCTTCTTTCCCTAAAGCTCTCCTTTTCTTCCTGTCTCTTCCCCTGTAATTAGTTCCTCTCTTTCTAGATTGCAGATCTTGCTGCTTCCTCTTCCCCTTCTTTTCTTCCTTTCCTATCTCCCTTCATAAGCCTTGCTCTTTCCTCCTAAATTGAAGGGCGGTAATGTAGTAAAATAAATTGCTGTCTGTCAACAGAATACATTTCTACTGTATTCATTCCCATGCAGAGAAGATTTATCCGGGTCCCTCACCCTGCACTATTATGTCAGAATACATTTCTACTGTATTCATTCCCATGCAGAGATTTATCCGGGTCCCTCACCCTGCACTATTATGGAAATGTGGTAATCCAGTGAAAATATGATCTCTGAGGAGTCTGAGGATAAAGTCACCATAAAAACTATCAGTTTCACACTGGGGTTTGGGTTTGGTTAACTCACTCACTGCCTTGTCTGCCTCCTATTTTTCTCCCTCTTGGGGAAAACTGGACAGGTGGTGACAGCTTATGAAAGATGCTTTCTGCCCCCTTAGGTCCTCAGAGGTCAGCTGGAGGATCAAATGGTTGTAAAGTGCCCGAGGAATTATAAAGTGCTACATAATTTAAGGATGTTATTATTTCTATTTCATGTGGGTCATCTCTGTGCCTCTTCTGTGTGACAGATGTCTACTCTGTCTGCAAGCCTGGACTAACCCCACACTTGGGCGTCTGGACTCCTTCTGCCAGCTTGTAACTATAAAGAATACTCTTTCCCCCTCTTTCTAGGTTGCTTCTGGGCACCCCAGAATCACATTGATGTTTGTTTGTCCTAGGAGTTTAATAGGAAGTTAGATTTTGAGGGGGACAAGAATCCTCTGAATAGCCCTCCACATTCTCACCCTCAGGAGTGAAGTGGGGCAGGTTTACAAGAGCCATGGGTAATAGGAAGAAGGCTAGGGTCAAAGCTAGTCTTCAGGGCAGCTGTACTGAGGGCCTCAGGATTGCTTGTGCTGTCCTAGATTCCTCAGAGCTGTGCTACACTGCCCCCCATTCCCAACATGCAGATGAGTCTGGTGGTTAAGAGTCCAATATCTGGGTCCTGGGTTTGAGCCCCAGTCTGCTACTCTCAAATTATTTCCCCTCATTAGAAAATGGCAGTAATAATACTATCTGCCTCATAGAGTTGTTGAAGTAATAAATAAAGCAAAGTTTGTGAGGCACTTAGCATGTAGTAACATAATTTTGTTGTTATTGTTTTGTGTTTTTAAAAAAATATATTTTTATTGACTTTAGAGAGGATGGGAGAGGGAAAGAGAGACAGAAACATCAATGATGAAAGAGAATCACCAATCAGCTGCCTCCCGCACGCCCACCACCGAGGATCAAACCCACAGTCCCATCAATGATGAAAGAGAATCACCAATCGGCTGCCTCCCGCACGCCCACCACCGGGGATCAAACCCACAGTCTGGGCACACGCTCCCGACCAGAATTGAACCCAGGATCCCTTAGTCCACAGACCGATGCTCCATCCACTGAGCCAAATCAGCTAGGGCTTGTTGTTTTAAGTGTTGCTCAGAAGGCTTTCTACATCATGGGCCCTGACCCTCAAAGACCTGGCCATGGATGGGGATACAGACCTTGCCTAGCCACCTCCTCCAGGAAAGAGCCTATAGGTCTGGGTTGTGCCTGCTTCCCTTGGGCTTAGGCTGTTTCAACCTAGCTGCTCCTGGAGACTGGAGTTAAGAGACTGGAGGAGGCAATGGAAAGGCAAGAAGAGTCTTGGGGAGGTGGGTGTCTCTTACGTAGAAATTGCAAGAGTCAGAGCTGAAAGTAGGGGAGGTAGCGGGGGTGGGGGGAGGAGGGAAGAAGATAGGATGTCTCTAAACTGCCAGAATCTGGATGGGACTACAGCTCTAGGGTCCTGGCACTTTCTGCCACCCCCAGTCTTGGGGATGAGTCAGTAGAGGGAGGAATGATGGAGGTGTCATGCTCCGCCTACAGAAATCAGGCTGTTCCCCAAAAGAGGGCTGGTGGGAGGGAGAAAGAGATGCAGAGGCTTAGGGGCTGAGAAGAGCTAGGAACAAGCGGAGACAGGAGGCACTCCTAAGACTCTGCTCACCTATTGAGAGACCAGGGAGGCAGGCCCCATCTCCTACCTCTTGTGCCAGCATCACTGCCCATCCTGGCCAAGAGTAATCAATCCACAACTGCTCTTGACTTCTGCCTCTGTCTGTGCTGGGTTGGCTCTATTCAGTTTTCTCCACAAGAGAGTGCTTCACATGATTTTGGTCACACACAGTGGGGGAGGGGACAAGGGTTCATTAGTCCCGTTTCACCTGGCCAACTCTTAAAGCAGTGATGGCGAACCTATGACACGCGTGTCAGAGGTGACACGTGAACTCATTTTTTTGGTTGATTTTTCTTTGTTAAATGGCATTTAAATATATAAAATAAATATCAAAAATATGTCTTTGTTTTACTATGGTTGCAAATATCAAAAAATTTCTATATGTGACACGGCACCAGAGTTAAGTTAGGGTTTTTCAAAATGCTGACACGCCGAGCTCAAAAGGTTCACCATCACTGTCTTAAAGCCTCCCTCTGCCCCTGAGCAACTTTTCTGTGATTCTATTTCCTTCCTTCCTTCCTTCCTTCCTTCCTTCCTTCTTTCCTTTCACTCTCTCTCTCTCTCTCTCTTCTCTCTCTCTCTCTCTCTCTCTCTCTCTCTCTCTCTCTCTCTCTCTCTCTCTCTCTCTCTCTCTCTCTCTCTCTCTCTCTCTCTCTCTCTCTCTCTCTCTCTCTCTCTCTCTCTCTCTCTCTCTCTCTCTCTCTCTCTCTCTCTCTCTCTCTCTCTCTCTCTCTCTCTCTCTCTCTCTCTCTCTCTCTCTCTCTCTCTCTCTCTCTCTCTCTCTCTCTCTCTCTCTCTCTCTCTCTCTCTCTCTCTCTCTCTCTCTCTCTCTCTCTCTCTCTCTCTCTCTCTCTCTCTCTCTCTCTCTCTCTCTCTCTCTCTCTCTCTCTCTCTCTCTCTCTCTCTCTCTCTCTCTCTCTCTTTCTCTTTTTGTCTTTTACAAAATACCCAATCCCTCAGCCTTCTCCCTCCTCAAAGTCAGGGACTTCTTTCTCTGTCCTTGGAGCTCAACCAAAAGTTAGGCATATATGTATGGATGTGGCTTTGGCCCACAAACACTGTTTCTTCTTCTTCCATTCTCTAGTTACTCCTGGTCCTTGACTCTTTTTTATGGTTTTCATTTAGTGAGCACCAACTATGTGCCAGGTGTCTTTACAAGATAATTTATTTAATCCTCATGATGACCTAATGCACATTTTTGCAGATGAGAAAATGAGCTCGCTCAGTGAGGTTAAGTAACTTGTCCAAAATCACAGTCAACAGGTGCTAGAACTGACATTTGCCAGCAAAGCCCTCAGACCTTGTTTTAAGAATAATATTATTCTTTTTGTTGTTGTTGTTGTTAATCCTCACCTGAGGATATTTTTCCATTGATTTTTAGAGAAAGTAGAAGGGAGGGGGAGAGACAGAAAGAGAGAAACATCGATGTGAGAGAGGCAGATCAATTAGTTGCCTCCCATAGGAGCCCTGACCAGGGCCGGGGATCTAGCCTGCAACTGAGGTATGTACCCTGGAATCAATCTTGGGACCCTTCAGTCCGTGAGCCAACGCACTATCCACTGAGCCAAACTGGCTAGGGCTAGAATCATATTATTCTTTTAAAATACAATAATCAGACTTTTTGGTTGTAACAATTACATGCAGAATTTTTAGTAAATTTTTGAGTTGCCCATTGCTAGCTATATATATAATCTTTATTGAAATACTAGAGGCCTGGTGCACAAATTCGTGCACGGGTGGGGTCCCTCAGGGTGGCCTGTGGGGATTGGTCCAAAACCCACAGTCCAACGCCGCCTGCTGCTTCTGCCTGCCACTCGTGCTTATCCCAGCCCTGCTCTGCCTGCTGG